GGTCTGTACATGGGATCCGAACCCTCGGGCGGGAGCGCCGCCACGCTTCCCAAGCGGCGCACTATCCAGTGCGCCACCGGGCCGGCCCCATATCTGTATCTCCTTTAACTCAGAAGTGTCTTTCTCAAGGACTGGAAAGCCATTTCTTTGCAATGTAATCATCAGGAAAGATAGGTCCTCTGTCTCGCAGTCTCTGTGGGAGGACAGAACATAACTTCAATAAGTGCCAGCTAGCAGACTCAGCTGGCCTAATCACATTTACACTGACCAACTCTTTGTAATTTTTTACTTCTCTGACTCTACTTGAGGCCTTGACCCCATGCCCCACATTCTCCCTTTAAAACATCAAATCACCTCTGCACAAACCAGGATGAAGCTCAGCTCTATTCCCTACTGTCAGTAGTTACTGAATAAAACCTGTTTTCACCACTTCAACTTCTAGCTGTGTTTGTATTTGACAGACTTGAAGAAGGTGAAAGGAGTAATCTGCTTGATCAACAGTAAAAAGAGTGTTCCAAGCAGAGGGACAGCCAGTACAGAAGCTCAAATGTGGGACCATGCTGGACCCATACAAGTAACAAGAAGTCCAGTGTGACTGAGGCAGAGTAAGTGATGGAAATATTGGTGGCAGCTGATGTCAGAATGTAGGCAGATGGGCAGGTGGCATATTATGTAGGGACTTATGTAGGTTCTCATAGGTAAGTACTTTAGCTTTTACTCTCAGTGGGTGAGAGAACCATTGGAGGATGTTGGTCAGAGGAATGACATGATCTAGCTTACGTTTTTAAAGGATCAGTCCAGCTGCTGTGTTGAGACTAAATAGCAATGGGGGGATGGGGGGGAGTTGGAGGGTAAGATTGGAATTAGGGAGTCCAATTAGGAGGTTATTGAAATAATTCATATGAGATGCAATGGTGGCTAAGTTCAAGGGTGATAGTAGTGATAACATCAGATTCTGGATGTACTTTAAAGAATATCCTGATGAATTGGATAGGAGGAGCTAAAAAGAAGTGTTAGTATGATTTCAAAGTTTTTGTCCTGAGTAGCTGGAATAATAGAGTTTTCCTCAACTGAGATGCTAGCAGGTTTTAGCGTGGGACAGGGGGTAGAGAAACTCTCCCCATAGGAGCTCAGTTTCAGACATGTTTATAGCATTTGGTAGACATGTGTATGGGGTGGTTGAGTAGGCAGCTGGATATTCATGTCTGGAGTTCTGGGGAAAAGACCATACTAGAGATTTAAATTTGGGAGTCATCAGCAAATAGATGGTGTTTAAAGCCATGGTCTGCATGAGATGACCAAAGGAGTCAGTGTGAAACGGAGTAAGGCTAGGCCTGTGAACCAAACTGACTCCATTTTCCCTGCAGAGGACACTTTCTTTTCCACACCTCTGTGGCAAATAATTATCCCATGGGCTGCCCTGACAAAACAGACTGAGATAAGAGAGGAAACAGATATTTACTGAGTTGCAAAACCCCTCCCCAAGGCTTGTTTACTATAATTGTAAAAGTTACAGACTAACCTTAAAACCCATTTAGGAATTCCCACCTGCGCACAAAGCATAAAGTGACTGCTACAAAGACCCTCCTGGGGTGACAATGATGAACACCACTGCCTACTGAGCATGCACCCATGCGCAACCAGGAAGAACAGAATGGACCACCTCCAGTGATGCTGGCCTGCCACCTCTTAACTCCTTTCCCTATAAAAGACCCTGAACAGCTCCCTTCAGGGGCTAGCTTTACTGTTGCTACTCCCTTATACATGTCTATCTCTTCTTCTTTTTTTTTTTTCCTTTTTGTCTTTTTTACTGACCAGCAACGGGATCGCAACCCTCGGTGTTGCGCCCGCACCGCGCTCAGCCAGTGAGCAGGAACCGGTCTCCACATGGGATCCAAACCCTCGGCAGGAGCGCCACTGCGCTCCCAAGCGGCGCACTCTCCAGTGCGCCACCGGGCCGGCCCTATCTCTTCTTTTAATAAAGTGTTGCTTGCTTTACTGTTGGGTACATTGTTTATTTCTATGACTTTGGAATCCGAGAGCCTAATTTAATCACTGGCAAAAATTGGAAAGCTTTCGGCACTGGAGAGGAATCTAGCTGCAAGAGGCAAGTGGCCACTGGGACTATTTTGCTCCCTTGTCTCTGCTGCTGGTAGATATCTCCTGGAGTCCCTGGCCTAAATTCTGACAAGGCAATGCTTTATTCTCTTTACTTTTCTCTGATTTTCTGAGCCCTCTTCTGTTTGGTTGGATTATACCCACGTCATGTATAGGTGCACCCTGGAGCGCTCCTGGCTATGCTTTGTTTTTCTGATTTAAATCTAGTTGATACTTTTCTTCTTTATGTTGAAAACAGTGGGGGAACTGCTTTTATCAATTACTTTTAATGGACTAGGTTGGCCCCACCGATTAGGACTAGGCTAAACTGGACCTCATTGCTCCTCTTTCCTCTTTGTTTGTTTGCTTAGTTAGACATTTAGTTCAGTACTGGTAATCTGAATAAACCTTCCAATCCTTGCATCAACTTTTGGACTTTCAGGTCATTTGTTTAAGGCGAGAGGACAAGCCGAGCCTGACCTGTCAGTAACAAGTGTAGCTAAAGAGAAGAGAAGAGAACCTAAGACCAAAGCCCTCCAATCATAAGAGAGGTTTGGCAGGAGAGGATGCAGCAAGGAGACTGAGAAGTAATAGCAAACCAGGTAGAAGGAATGTCAAGAAAATGTGGTGCCCTGGAAACCAAGAGAAGAAAACGGTGTCAAGAGGAGGAAATGACGAACAGTTGCTGAAAAGATGGGAAATGAAAAGTGACCATTAGATTTGGTGACATGGAGATCATTGCTGACCTTGACAAGAATAGTTTGGACAGAGTGGTGGCAGCGGAAGCCTGAAAGGAGGAAGTGTGAGAGAGAATAGGAGACAGGGATTGGGAAGAGTGACAGCACAACTTTTTGAGGAGTTTTGTTGCGAAGAGGAGCAAAGAAATAGACCAGTGATGGGAAAAACCGACATTCAAAGTTGGCTCTTAATAAATGTTTGCTACTGATAACAGAGACTTACATCCATATCCTAAATTATTCTTAAACAAGGTGATATCCTGGTGTCATTCTACATGCAACACAATCATGCATTAGGCATCATTATTATCCCAATTTATAGGTAAACAAACAGAGAACCTCATCACAGGAAGATAAAGGCTACTGAAGTGCTGTTAAGTTATTGTAGTGGTTCCCCCAAACACCGGCCAACTGCAAAAGGAATGAAAACTGTCTTGAACATATATTTATATGTACAACTACTCAAAATATATAACTGCTTTTGCTTACTACAAGATAAATTCATTGAAAACATTACTGAATTCACAATAGGACTTTGCGATTATGTATTTTCTAAATCAGCAAATACCAAGGCTATGACTACTATAACGAGCTAGTCCAAGACATTTTTCAGTGTTAAAAAAGAAGTTCTGTGTTCAAAAAGGCTGGTGGTTTCTGGAGTTAGACAAACCTTTATCTGAACTCTGCTTCTGTCAATTAGTTGTGTAGTACTGGGCAAGTCTTTCTGAGTTTGTTTCTTCATCTCTAGAACAGGGATTATAAAACCAACCTTGCTTGTCCTGATGACTAGAGAAATACATGGCTTATTTTTAGCACTCAGCAAATGCCAAATACTATAAAATGAAAAGCCAAGGTCAAATAAGATTCTACCTTAAGTACCAAGCTAATGATTTTTTTTTTCCTGTGGGCACAATAATTACTGAAGGTGGGCTGGCCAGTTAGCCCGGTTGCTTAGAGCATGGTGTTGTAACACCGTGGTCAAGGGTTCAGATCCCTGTACTAGCCAGCTGTGCCCCTCCCCCCCGAAGATCCTAATAATTATTGAAGTGTTTTCATTTGAGTGACAGAGCGTCACTAGGAGTGTAGTCAAGGCAGATGCAACTTGTGTAGGTGTATGTACCAGTATGTAGGTGAAATATGTTAGGTTATTGTAGCAGTCTAGGTGAAGCATAATGAGGCATTGACAGTAAACTTCAGAAATATTGCAGACCATTATCAACCCAAATAATAGACAGAGATGCTCTCTAAAACAAAATGACGTTTACTTGGGAACAGGTATTGAAATGGGAATAGGCATGACATAGCAAACTACGTGCGTATTCAGGGAGGTAAACAAAGACAAACGTTTTTAAAAGGAAAATGAGGGGGATCACATAATTGTTTTGAGATAATTATCCTTAGCTACAATGATCAATAAAAGGGGTGGCACCCATGCGAGGTTGGACAGGCAGTTGCTGGGCAGATGTCCTTGCAGACGTGCCTATGTGCAAGGTTTTGATGGCTTTTGTGCAAAGTTGTGGTTTTGCAGAGTCCTGTGTAGACAGTTCTTGTTATCAGGCATTCATGCCTTAGAAGCCTCCCTTCATGGCCTTCCCCAGCTCTATTTGTCAGGGATTTTTTTAAACACAAGTGACTCCATTTTCATTTTAACAACTTTCACACTATCACCTATAGGACTCCACATTTACTTGTATATGAGGAATGCGAGATAAGAAAGATTGCTATTTTGATGTAGATGATGCTTTTAACAACAACAACAAAAAAAGTAAAAAGAGTTGTGACGTTCAGTTTGGGACATCTTGAGATTAAACTCCTAAAATGATTGGGGCTAAAATACATACACAAAGCACCAAACATGATCTATGCTGAAAACAAGTCTCTAGAAATTTTTCTTTCCTTTAAAAAAAAAAAACCTATGAATTTTTTAAAATCAAACATTTAAAAACCTTTTTTTAAAAAAACGACAGTTCTACTGGAACATGCACTATCGGGACACACTATAACACCTGCTTAGAAAGGTTCCTCAGAAACTCAACAAGCTCCACTTGGCCTGAGGTCACCGCGCCTCGGTGACGTCACTAGGACGCGCGGGCGCTCTCCTGCCTGTCCGCGGACGTCGGGCGCCATTACCAACGCGGGGCGAGGGGCGGGGCTCCTCCTGGAGGCGCCCTGGCTCGCTCTCTAATGTCAGCCGGCTTCGAAGTCGGCCTAGATCTGCGCGTGCGCCCAACTCCGTGCCCGGGCTAGCGCCAGGCGAGGGGCGACGCCTCGAGGTAAAACGTAGGAGGTTCGGGAGGCGGACCCGGCACGGCCCACTAGTCCCGGAGAGCGCAGGCTCCTGGCCGTGCGGCGGGTGCGATGGCGGAGGAGCAGGTGAACTGCAGCGTGGAGACGCACACCGACTGTAAGGCAGCGGCGGCTGCGGTGCCCACGGCGTCCTCAACGGAAGCCTCGGAGATCACCGCAAAGTCACCGGAGCACGAGCACTACGACAGCAAGTGCGTGTTCTGCCGAATCGCGAGGCAGGAGGAAGCTGACGTCGAACTCCTGCCCTGCGAGGTGGGCGGCACCCCTCGGAGCTCCGGGAGGGAGGCCTCCCCCGAGCGGACCCGGGTGGGGAGCATCCCGATCGCCACCCAGAGCTCGCCGAGGCAGGGGGCTCTGTGTGCGTGGGGCTGCGGGAAGCTGGGGATACGCCCGCTGCCGGCCCTTCTGCAGGGTGCCCTGGTGTCGATGACAGACTCACTCTTCTCGGTGGGGGGAGGGGGGAGTGTTTCCAGCGGCATCGTTGCTGTTTGGGTGGGAGAAAAGATAGTGATAGAGCCAAATAGCCCGGCCTCGCTCAGCAGGTACCAAGGTACTTGACATAAAGGAGCATTTTGTGTCCTCTTTTTTATTACAGCGAATCTCCCCCCCCGCACCCCCTCCGCCAGATGCTGATTTTAAATTCTGCACGTTCTGATACTGATAACTAGAGAGAAAACTAGTAGAAAGTAAAGGTAATTGTGGAAAGCTGTTAGTTAATATTGACTGAAAATAGGCTGGGGTGAGTGGGTCTAAGGTCCAACTATTCCTTGATAGCCTCTGATTTCTACTGAAGTATTATCCGTTGGGGTGTGGGGGAATTTTCAGAGCAGTAAGACTTTGCCCACATATTTTAAAACAGGTATCTGATACACACTTTGTTCTGTCTGTTCTACTTGTCTTTAAAGAAGCGACCTTTTGAGAGAACCCGCTCCAAAAATTGTTTTTTTGTAGTAATCATTCACTCATTCGTTAAAAATAAGTAGAATTTCTTCTAAGCATCTCGTTTTGGAGATTTAGGGATGAACAAGATAAAGGACAGCCTGCGTACAGATTTTATAATCTAAAGGGTGGATTGAATACAGAGGAGGCAGCCAATTACAATGCCCTATGCTGTGGTAAGATGGTTTTACAAAATTTTGCAAGCCCGTGGGCGGGGCATCTAACCCAGATTTGAGGGGTTAGGGAAGGCTTTCCAGTGAAGAAATAAGTAAGAGTTGATCAGGTGAAGAGGAGGAGAGAAGAATGTCTCAGAGAACCTCCAGGGGTTCTATTTATGCCACAGGAGAACTAACAGAAATTGTCTAACTGGAGCATAGAGCTTGAGGGGTCGGGTGGTGAAAGATGATGGTGGAGAGGTAAACAAGAGGCCAGATTATTAAGTGTGTTGAAATTCATGTTAAGGAGTTTTGTTTCTTTATCTGAGAGCAAAGAGAAACTCCAAAAATGTTTAATACTGGGTTGGGAGGAAGAGATTGAGGAGTTACGTGAAGGGGTTTGATCTTTGAAAGGTCACTCTGGCACCATAGTGGAGAATGACTTGGAGAGGACCAGGCTGGAGATATGGAGACCCATTAGGAGGCTATTGGAGTAATCTAGCCTGATGATGGCCTGAAATAAGAATGTGGAAGTGTGGGGATAAAGTGGATCAATCTACAAGATATTTAAGAGACAAAACAGGCAAGACTTGAAATCATTCTTTTCTTTGTGTGGTTATGTTACCATCATTACATACAGTTAGGTTTGTTTGTTTCTCTTTGTTTTCGATTTTTAGGGATTGCTTTCTTTCTTTTTTTTTTTTTTTTTTAAGCCCAAAGCATATGTTAAATATTTACATGTTTTCAGAGTCAAAATTGTAAAGCAAGGTACATTTAGAAAAGTCTAGCATTTGTTCTGTTGTCATCTCTACCCTGTTCCTCTTCCCCCTAAGAAACTTTTAAAAATTATTTATGGTCTATCCTTTCATTGTAGGTAAATATGTATATGTATGTCTATATTTGTATTTCTCCTTCTTACACAAAATATAGTCTAACTTCCTTCTTGCTTTTTTTAAAACTTGAATATATCATAGAAATGAGGTTTTGACAATATAAAGATCTTCCTCAGTCCTTTTTATAGCTACACCATATTTCACTATATGGATTTACCATAATTTACTCAACCAGTCTCCTAGATGAATTATGGACATATAGGTTATTTTCAGTATTTTGCTATCATATCATAGCCTTATGCATATATCATTTCATATTTTTGCCAGTGTATCTTTGGAATAGGAGGATAGTCTTTCATAAAATGAGTAGTATAAATAATGGCTGAGTAAGTAGTGAAAGTGGGAAGAGAAGGTGACATCAGAGAGCCAGTTTTAATATTTTAGAAAGCTTAATGGAAATCTAATTCAATCACTGTGTAGGCTAATTAAAACATCGTTTATTTGGTTTTGACATGAATTTTATTGGCTCAAGATGATGATGATAGTTACGTTGATTGTTAGTTTTTAATTGGAATTTGGAAAATAAATTCTTTGTATAATTAGTAAATAAAACCTTTTAAAATAGGGGCTTTGAAGACAGAGAACTGAATATTTTGATTTATTCTTCTGGCTGAGTCATGGAATATGAGACAGCAGATTTTTAGGAACTTCTTTAACTCCTATTATCCTTTAGACTGGCTCAAAGTTCTATTATCTAAAGAAATGTTATTCTTGCTTTAAGGCAGAATTTAACTACATTATCTCAAACTAATTCTAATCTGTGAAAGAAAGTGAGCTGAGACACCGCGTACTGTTCAAACTTTATTAAAGGAAAAGAATCTACTGGGCTGTGCCCAAAGTGGGGGGCAGCCCAGGGTTGTCCTCAAAATGGAAGGTAGCACTAGATGTGGGGGGTGGGAGAGCTTAAATGGACTGATACAATCTAGGAGGGGCGTTATGCTAATGTGGATAGGGCTGGAGAACTGCATCCTTGTGGAAGCAAAAGGGGTTTCTGTCAGGAGGCTTCTCATAAAGGGAAGCGGGGAGGGGCTTGGTGCTGGAGTGGAAGACGAGGCCAGCGGCTATTTTGTGCTTATTGTGTGCACAGTGGTGCCAATCACATCCCAAATCCATCAATCTGGATGTATTATGTACCAATAAGAATTACCTCTGGAATAAAAAAAAAAATGAATGCCACAATTGAGGAGAAATACAGATATGTAACATTTTGTTACAAACCAATAATCTGGAAAGTACGATTGTGGCAATTTTATTGTGTTAGATTTAACCCCCAATATTAATTGTTTTTCAGCTGGGAGCATTAAAGAAATAATAGAAAACTTTAAACAATCAAGAACATTTTGGTTCTTGACCTTATCTTTTTCTAAAACATTCCATGGATATCAGTATTTAATTTTACTACTAGACAGAAGAACCATAATAAAAATGGATTAAAATTGATTTACAGGTGTATCTCATTTTATTGTACTTTGCTTTATTGCATTCTTTTACAAATTGAAGGTTTGTGGCAATCCTGGTTGAGCAAGTCTATGGTGCCATTTTTCCAACAGCACATGCTTGTTTCATGTCTCTGTGTCACATTTCGGTAATTCTTGCAGTATTTCAAACTTTATTCTATCTGTTACGGTGATCTGTAATCAGTGATCTTAAGCGTTACTATTGTAATTGTCTTGGAGTGCCACAAACTGCACCCATATAAGACAGTGAACTTAATAAATGTTCTGTGTTCTTCAGTTGCTTCACTGACCAGCCATTCCCCCATCTCTCTCCCTCTCCTTGGGCCTTCCTATTCTCTGAAACACAACAATATTGAAATTAGGCCAATTAACCCTACAATGGCCTCTAAGTGTTCAAGTGAAAGGAAGAGTAGCATGTCTTCCAGTTTAAATAAAAATCTAGAAATGACTAAGCTTAGTCATGAGGTAGGCATACCAAAAGCTGAGACAGACTGAAAGCTAGGCCTCTTGTGACAAATAGGTAGCTAAGATGTAAATGCAAAGGATAAGTTCTTGAAGGAAATTAAAAGCACTACTCCAGTGAACACATGAATGATAAAGTGAAAGAGCCTTATGACTGATCATTGAGAAAGTTCAGTGGAGTATAGACCAAACCAGCCACAGCATTCCCTTAAGCCAAAGCCTAATCGAGAGCAAGGCCCCAACTCTCTTCAATTCTATGAAGGCTGAGAGAGGTGAGGAAGCTGGAGCAAAGTCTGAAGCTAGCAGAGGTTGGTTCATGAGGTTTAAGGAAAAAAGCCATCTCCATAACATAAAAGTGCAAGGTGAAGAAGCAAGTGCTGATGTAGGAGCTGCAGCAAGTTATCCAGAAGATCCAGCTGAGATCATTGATGAAGGTGTTTACACTAAACAACAGATTTTCAATCTAGATGGAACAACTTTCTACTGGAAGAAGTCTTTCATAGCTAAAGAGAAGTCAAAGGAAAGGCTGACTCTCGTTAAGGGCTAATGCAGCTGATCTTAAGTTTAAGCCAATGTTCATTTACCATTCTGAAAATCCTAGGGCCCTAAAGATTATGCTGGATTTACTCTGCCTATGCTTTGTAAATGGAACAACAAAGCTTGGATGACAGTACATCTGTTTATAGCATCGTTTACTCAATATATATATATTTAGGTCCTCATTAAAGTCCACAGCATAGAGTTTAAGAGGAAATGATGAAATGGTGCTCCCTGAAACATCTCTTCTTTAAATTTAATTAGACAAATTATACTCAAACTAGTAGATGCCCTGGGAAGGCAATCAACATTAGGGCTAATAAAAAGCTTGAATAGTATAAAAGGGCTGGAGGAGGTATTGTAGAACCTTTCTAGCACTTATGAGAGGTAAATTAACACCAATTGCTAAACATAGAAACTGGATAAATTTCAATATTCATTTAGAAATTAATTTTATGATGCTGTCCTAAGTATTAAAATACAGGTTATACTTAAATCATTCAAAGTTTGGCATGTTCACACATGTGCACAAAGTATTTGATAGATATTTACACACTGGGAGACACAATTATGGTCTGACTTTGGAGTTTTGGCAGATCTGGGTTCAAATTCTGGCAAGTTTCCCTACTAGCTTTTTTTGGGTGCGTGTGATCCGAACCCTCGGGCGGGAGCGCCGCCGCGCTTCCCAAGCGGCGCACTATCCAGTGCGCCACCGGGCCGGCCCGGTTTACTCAATATTTTAAGCCCACTGTTGAGACTACTGCTCAGGAAAAAAGACTCCTTTCAAAATATTACTGCTCATTAACAATGCACCTGGTCACCCAAGAGCTCTGATGATGTAGAAGGAAATTAATGTTGTCTTCCTGCCTGCTAACACAGTATTTATTCTGCCAGTCCAGGGATCAAGGAGTAATTTCTATTTTTAAGTCATATTATTGAGTTTTTTTCAGTATTTGAAAGTCTTTTTAATGTTGGAAAGTGGCAAGTAAACAAAGAAAAGTATAAATAATTGCTTTAAAAATGTTTAAAAATGTGATGCACTAGATGCTGTTCTTGTTATAACAGGAAAATGCCACTTTGGAAAAGAAACGTAAAAAGAAATTTGGCCATCTTGCTGCGATTCTGTAGTCAAACCTTTAAAGGTACATAGTAAGAGTGAAAAAAACCTTAGATAAGGGTACAGATGGCGAAATGTACTAAACTCTGGGATTATTTGGTAGTGAAATTTTAATGAACTTCATTTGTAATTCTTTTTCTGAAGTTGACTTTATATGTCTTTTTATTTTCTGGAATAAATGAGTATCTCATGAAGGAAACTAAAGCTTGTCTTCTTGTCTTTGTGAACTTAATACATAATTATAAAATTGCTTAGTGGGGCATAGTTGTAATATAAGTACCATTTCTTTATCAAACTGAGATTTATGATGTTAAAGTCATGCCAGAAATTCTTAGGAATTAGAAAAATGCATTAGGAAAATTTTTTTAAAAATTCACTAACAAATATGTTTTTTTCTTTAGAATGAAGACCTAGTTTGCTTCAAAGATATCAAACCAGCAGCACCTCATCATTATCTTGTGGTGCCAAAGAAACATATTGGAAACTGCAAAGATCTAAAGAAAGATCACATAGAATTGGGTAAGATGATGGCAGTATTATTCATAGTTATAACAACTTGAATTGGCATCAGCAATGGCAGAGAAGATTAAAAAGAAAAAGTCTAGCCAGGTGTCATGAAAAGGCAGCATTATGACTTTTTGAAATCTTCATTCTAAAAACTTTCAAATTTATACAAAAATAAAGAATATAATGTATTCATCACTCAACTTCAACTTTTATTAACTCATGGCCAGTCTTTTTTCATATATTAACCTCTCACAGTAGATTCAAAGCAAATCCCAGACATAATGCTTCTTTACGATTTTCCCCCCTCCCTCCCCTTCTTTATGATTTTTTAAAATGATGGCTTTTCTTGACTCTTGGTGCTATGAAAAATTATGAACAGATAAATTATGATATGGAATATAAGCTCATATTGCCCATAGTGAGATCATATTGCCTAATAGTTGGTGGCTGCCTTGAAATCTCCTATGAATGAATGAATGAATTAGCACCAAAGTTTCTGAGATTTTAGGGATGAACTTTCAGCCTCTGAAAAGGAGATCCTGAAGCTTATCTATTGCAGGATTATGCTGCATTTTCCTACCTGTGCCTTCTGTGACTTGTCAGGTATCATTTCCTAAGACATTTCTAAGTACACTTCAAATCTACTTTGACAGCATTTGTCACCAGGGTTTAGGATTAGTTTGGTAAATACTTTATCATTTTTTTCCATTTTATTTATTTATTAATTATTGGTTATGAATATTCATGGGGTACAAAGCAAATTGTCACCACTCATGCATAAGATGTGATGGCCAGATCCATACTGGCAGCATGCCCATTACCACAAATTGTGATTATATACCGTGTCCCCCACCCAACTGTCCCCCCAATTGTCCCTGACCTCCCTCCCCGTCCCCCTTTCCCCACTCCACTTTGTATCCCTAGATATATTCTCTCCCTCTGCAAGTCCAAAACACCACTGTGGTCTTTCTTTCCTTTCTTCCTTCTCTCTTAGCTCCCACTTATGAGTGAATACATACGGTATTTATCCCTGTGTGCTATGCTTATTTCACTCAACGTAAGTTTCTCCAAGTTCATCCATATTGTTGCAAATGGGAGAATTTCATTCTTTTTTATGGCAGAGTAGTGTTCCATTGTGTATATACACCACATTTGCCTTATCCAATTGTTCATCAGTGGACATTTAGGTTGGTTCCATATCTTGGCTATTGTGAACAGAGCTGTGATGAACATAGGAGTGCAGTTATCCCTTCAACATGATGATTTCCATTCCTTTGGGTATATACCCAGAAGTGGGATTGCTGGATCGAATGGAAGACATCTGTAGATGTCTGAGAAACCTCCATACTGTTTTCCATAGTGGTTGTACTAACTTACAGTCCCACCAACAGTGTAGGAACGTTCCCTTCTCTCCACATCCTTGGCAGCATTTGTTATTCTCTGTCTTTTTGATTATAGCCAGTCTAAGTGGGGTGAAATAATACCTCAATGTGGTTTTAAGGTAGATACTTTAAGGTAGCCTACAAGATAGATAAATTGGGTCCGCTTTTTAAAAGGTAAGTAAGAAACCTCTGTGATGGAAAACCTTGACGTGTAGCTACAAAATTACCAGTTTTTAAACTGTCGATTCCAGATACTGCAAAGCTGTGTAGACATCTGAAGTTCTGTCAGTACATTTCTCAACATATATGATTTATAACCAGAGGACAGCTTTTGAGCTTATAAAGATCAGATAGAATTTAAATTTACCTGAATGACTGAAACATTTCTTCTTTCTTATTAAAAGTTCCTATTTTCATTCTTATAGTTATTTCTTAGAGATCACACTTTAGCTTTTTAGGAATTTTTCAATTTATCCTTATTGTAAAGATGGGTTTGTGGAGAATTGAGGCTGCTGTTATAACTAGTTTTTATAACTGTTGCAAATCAAATGTTACTAATTTTGAAGCAGCTGGTGGGTATTGGGATTTCATTATTTTGTTTTCTCTGTTTTTGTATATATTTGAATATTTCCAAAATAACAGTTTAAACATTGTTGCAATTAGTAATTTGTGTACAATCTATAAAGTTGGGAAATAATAAGCATATAGAAGAGCTCAAAAATATTATCAAACACCATGACTGTAATTGACATTTATAGAACTCCATTTAACTACAGAGTACACATTTTTCTAAAAGCACGTGTTCACCAAGGCTGACCATAATCTGGGCAATAAAATAAGGCTCCATGTATTTCAAATGATTCAAATCTTATGAATTATATTCTCTGAAGACAATGGAATTAAATTAGAAAAATAACAGAATCTAGAATAGCAGTAAATATTTTTAAATTAGACAACAACTTTCTAAAAAACTTATAAATAAATAGGACAAAGAAGAAAATATTTTGAATTGATTGGTAACAAAAATACAATATATTAGAACTTGTGGGTTGTAGCTAAAGCAGTGCCTAAGGAGAAGTTTATAGCTTTGAATGCTCATATTAGGAAAAAAGGTTTAAAACCAATGACTTAAATTTGCATTTAATGTGCTAGAAAGAGGCAATCAAATCAAACCAAAATAAGTATAAGGAGGGAAATAATAGATATCAGTGAAATAGAAAAGACACAATAAGTTTTACTCCATGTATTTTGGATTTGTTTTTAAGTGAATACATAATTATGATTGTTATGTCTTCTCAATGAATTGATGCTTTTTTTTTTTTCCTTTTTGTCTTTTTTACTGACCGGTAATGGGATTGCAACCCTCGGTGTCGCGCCCGTACCGGGGACCGGCAACGGGATCGCAACCCTCGGTGTTGCGCCCGCACCGCGCTCAGCCAGTGAGCAGGAACCGGTCTCCACATGGGATCTGAACCCTCGGCGGGAGCGCCGCCGCTTTCCCAAGCGGCGCACTCTCCAGTGCGCCACCGGGCCGGCCCAATGCTTTTTAATTATTATTAATTATTCCTTTTTGTTTCTGGAAATACTCCTTTAGTCTATTTTGTGTGATATTAATTTAGCTACTTCACCTTTCTTATTACTATTTGCACTGGGTATGTTTTTCCTGTCCTTTACTTTAAACCAAACTGAATATTTATATTTAAAGACTTGACAGAAATACAGTTGAGTTTTGCTTTTATTTTGTAAATATAATGTGAAAAATCTGTGTTTTTAATTGCTGTATTTAATCCATTAACATTTAATGTAACTATTGATATAGTTGGATTTATGTCTGCCATCTTGCCATTTGTTTTCTGTTTATCCCACTTATTTGTTTTTTGTTGCCTTGTTTCTTCTTTCCTGCCTCTGATGGTTGATCAGATATCTTTTTTAGCATTTCACTTTATCTGTTGCTGTTTTAGTTGCTCTGCATGATTTTTCTTTTTTAGTGGTTGCTCTAGAGAGGTCACAATACACTTTAATTATCACAGTCTACTTAAAGTTAATGTATCAATTCATGTAAAATGTAAGAAAGTTTGCAACACTTGGTGTTATTGATGTTATATATATATTACATCTACATACTTTATAATGCCATGATAGTGTTAAAATTATTGCTTAAACACTCAGATGTCTTTCAAAGAAGTAAAAAAGAGAAAACATGGTCTTTTAGACCTACCCACATGGGGTCTTCAGAATATTTTAAAAGAAAAAAGATAACAATCTGGCTTGAAGTCACTTGGGAACTTCTTTTGACCATATTGGCCTGGTCATAAGAGTCTGGAAGTCTCCTAGCTTAAGCCTGACTTAGAGAGGTAAACATTAACAATGATTTTATTAGCCTCCATATAACAACCTCTTTTACTTCTCTTAAACACATAATTACACCATTGATAAAAAAAGGAGGCATAAGGTTTGGCATTGTGCTTTGAAGATTCCAGGTTACCAAAACTTTTCTAATGGGGAGGTTTATTCCCATTTGAAGGTTAGACAGCACCAAGAGAAGAAAATGGTAAGGCAGATAGAATTTGGAAGCCAAAGTCATAATACAAATGTTTGGCTAGTCGAGGCTAGGTTGATTTGAAGGATATGATATCCCTAATTTGGGCTCAAAGACAAATTCAAAGTTTTCTTATCTTTCTTATTAATTCAAGCAATTTTTGTTTAATTGCTGGTCTCCTTATGATTAAATTAGACCTGAGTTTGACCAGATGTTCTAAGTAGCCACTTGATAATATCCCTCAGCAGCTGTTCAAAGTTAGACTATATGTGATATTTTGTGATAGTCACATTGCTCTGGGACTCAACTTGAACCTTTTTTTTTTTTTGACTGGTAAGGGGATCACAACACTTGGCTTGGTGTCGTCCGCACCATGCTCAGCCAGTGAGCACAACGGCCATCCCTATATAGGATCCAAACCCACGGCCTCAGTGCTACCAGTGCCACACTCTCCCGAGTGAGCCATGGGGCTGGCCCTGAACTTTTATTTCAGTTGTTGATAAACTTCTCAGTAACTTAAAGCTATTTCATGTCTTTAAATTTTTACCCAACTGATAGGTATTTTGACTAGGTCCCTAAAAGTTAAGATTTATAGCAATTTAATGAAAGTATTAGTCCCTTACTGTTGCTTATAACAGAATGCCTGAAACTGGGTAGTTTGTAAAGGAGTGAAATTTATTTCTTATAGTTTTAGAGGCTGGGAAGTCCAAAGTTCAGGGAACACATCTGGTGAGGGCCTTCTTCTGGTGGGAACTCTCTACAAGGTCCCATGGCAACCGGGGTGTTACATGGCAAGAATGGGCTGAGCAAGAGAGTTAGCCTTCTCACACACTCTCCTTATAAAGCCATTACTCCCTGAATGGATCAATCCATTCACAAGAGTACAATCCTTATAATCTATTCACCTCTTCAAGGTCCCACCTTTCAATTACCATAATAGGATTTTCTATCCTCTTAATATAGTTACAGTGGAGATCAAGTTTCCAATACATGAACTTTGAGGGGGATACATTTGACCCATAGCATGAACTTAATGTCTGTTATAGTGTCATGTAATTTCTTTCTTGTTTTACAGTTGAGAAAATGGTAACTGCTGGAAAAACTGTTCTTGAAAGGAATAATTTCACTGACTTCACAAATGTAAGGTATGTATACTTCCAGATAGAAACCAATGTTACATGTTATTGATTTTTCTGAAATATTTTTTGTTCATGAAAATGGAAGCAGAGGTGGCAGAGTTTGTGTTATACCTGAGAGTGAGAATGTAGTTTTTGGTAGTATAAATTTAATAGAATTTCTTCCTCTTATGTCTCAATATTTTCCAATAATCTTCACTTATAATCTGGACAGACAAGTATATACAAGCAGTGGGTAGGTAAAGTAGTTACATGTCTACTTTTTTTGTTTAATATGTGCATTCATATAAAATTGTGTGTAAATTGAATTTTCTTAGGAAAACTTTAATGTGATTTAAAAACACATATCATACTTCTAGCATGAAATTAACATGAGTTTATTTCCTGCTAAATTGAGCTCTGGCATTTGTCAAGTTTGAGCAAAAGCACATATTGTTCAATTTTCAACTGTGTTATTTAATCTCACTAATATTTTTCTTATTAAAGGATTTCTGACTTTGCTTTGTGTGATCCAGGCAGTATGAAGGTAGCTATAGTGAAGATTACTTCTAATACTTCTAAACTACAATTCGGAATAGACTTGAATTATAATGCTGTCCATGCTACTTGTTGTGTGCTGTACTTGTACTGGCTGTGTTACTTTAGACAAGTCATTTAACTTCTCCAAGATACAGGTTCAGCATCACTAATCTGAAATTCAAAATCCAAAATCTGAAACTTTTTGAGCGTCAACATGATGCTCAAAGGAAATACTCATTGGAACATTTGGGATTTTGGATTTTTGGATTAGGGATGTATATATTGGTATACTGGAATATATTGGTATACTGGTATATACTAGTATATATTCTACAAATTTTCCAAAATCCAAAAAAATCCAAAATCCAAAACACTATTGGCCCCAAGCATTTTAGATAGGGAATACTTAACCTGTAATACCTGCTCTGCTTGCTTGTAAGCTCAGATAAGATTATGTGTGTGAAAATCCTCTGAAAACTGACAAGCATTATCCGTGTGATAATGACAAGGAACTGATGTTGTTGGGACCCTTTGGCTAGAAGCAAACACATTCCCTTCCTAGTCACAGGAGTGCTAATTAGAAGAATCAACATTGGACAAGGAATCAAGAACCCTGAGTCTCAATCCCAACTCTACCACTGTTTAACTTTGTGACCTTGGGAAGTCTCTTAAACTTTTTGGATCTTGGCTTCCCCATCTTTAAAATGAAAGGATTGAAAGAACCATTGAGTTGCTTCTAGATTACTTTATTCTATATTATATGACTCTTGTTTCACAAAGGGAAAACCTAGTTTTCTCTTCTAGGTAGAAATGGAGCGTTTTCAATATGTGCTATATTTCTGACTCCAGATTGTTAGTCACAGAGGATCACTGCTGCAATAGCACTTCTCCTGTGCCTTCTTTTCATACCACCACTCACTTCTAGTTTGAACAGGCATGTATTTCTAGGCTTTGATTATTGTTATACATGTTCCTTGCTCTATTCAGCATAAGTGAACTTGGAAAACTATAAACTGCTTTTTAAGAGGCGAAATCATATTTTTAAAACTTTTTTTACTTTTTAAAGGGATTTTCTTATAAATTTTACAAAGCAAATAATTATGAATAATTATCATCAACTTATTTTCACTATTGAAAAACAAACTTAAGTGGTGATAAAGATTTCTTTTATGATGACATAATCTTACTACTAAAATATTGTTGGTTGGTAAAGAAGTGCTTCAGTACTTTATTAAAGGGGAAGGCATGCCATCTACTGGCTGTGTCTTGGATAAAAGAACACTCCTACTTGAGTAGTCCAGTGATGTATTTTTAAATTCATTGCAGGGACATATCTTAGAATTAATGCTTAATATGATAAGAACTGACGTGATAAGACATAATGCCAATTCAGAATTCTCAAAGATTATACTGAGGCATAATATGCTGTTAAGGCCTTCCTTGGTGATGAGCTTATGTTACTATGAACTTTCAACATGAAAAGAAGAGGAAGTGTGTGAATACTCTGTAGTGAATAAAGAAAAACAGTAAAAGAGATACATGAGTAGTAATCTTTCTATACTGGGTACCTATTTTGGATATCTTTAATGTTTATGTATTTTAATATTAAAAATAGCTTTAAACTATTGTAGAACTTATTTGTCAATCATTTCTTACCTTTCTGTTTTAGGATGGGTTTCCATGTACCTCCATTCTGTTCCATTTCCCACTTGCACCTTCATGTTATGGCACCCGTCAGTCAGTTTGGCTTCTTATCCAAGTTGGTTTATAGAGTCAATTCCTATTGGTTTATCACAGTAAGTGTTATTGTTATACCAACAGCATACAGAAGTATTGAAAACATTTGTCTTTTTTGTTCTGGTTTTTCTTTTCTTGGCAATAGTAGGCACTTATAGCTCTCATAGGCTTAGCACATGTTTTAACATACTGGTTGCACTTATCCAAAATAATATTTTTAATTTGGGGAATTTTTCAGGTTATCGTATCTGTAGGAATAGATCCTATGTCTCAGTCTGCCCATTGCAAGCAGGGGATGTGATATAGAAACATGGCATTCAGAGTTCAGATTTTAGAGTCAGATCTAGATTCGAATTTTGGCTCCATTGCTTACTTGAGAGGCCATATGTAAGTTACTTACTTTAAGGCTCAAGTTCTTTATCTATTACCTGTGTATAGATAACAGTGTCTACCCTTAGGGTTGATAAGACAGTTGATGAAATAATTCAAGTGTAAAGCATTTAAAACAGTACCTTGCAAATAGCAGTGCTTGGTAAGCATTACCTGCTGCTTCTATCATCATAATCATCAACATTATTGTAGAAATTGAATTGATAGTCTATTTAAACTCCTTAGAAAAGGGCTGCTGTAGTAGCATCAACTACCAGATCCGAGGTTGAAACTTTGAGTCTTAAAAAAAAGGCAGAATTCTGCTTTGCTGAGGCAAAGTGGAATAGAATTCAGCTATTCAGAGGCCAGTGGTCAGAAAGTCAAGCCTTATTTATTAAGTGATTCTGATCCCTCTAGGGCCACTTGGCCAGTAATTTATCTTAAGTTTGGCCTAAAGGTTTATCAAAGCATAGTGAACTGTAAACTAACTTGATGTGTAAACAGACAGTAACCTATTCTTGTAACAAGTAGCCAAGTCTCAGACAAATACAGGCAGCCAAAAACTATGTTCAAATGAGGCAAATGCCCAGCTATAACCAACCCAGCCAACCCAGCTGTTTCTGTACCTCACATCTGTTTCCTATATGTCACTTTCCTTTTTCTGTCTATAAATCTTATCCAAACATGTGGCAGCTGTGGAATCACTCTGAACCTATTATGGTTACGAGAGCAGTCAGATTCGCACATCATTTTTTTGCTCAATTAAACTGTTAAATTTAATTTGACTAAAGTTTTTCTTTTGACACATGGTGTCAGAAGTGGGATCCAAGCTAGAACTTTGCGTGACCCCCAGGAGTATTGAGTGACCAAGTGAAGTGCCCACAGGACCCATTGAGTCCCATTGGGTCCATTGCTCTCTTGCAGCAACTGGGGGCTGTGGGTAAGTTCTCTCTTGGACTCTGAAGTTCCACAGATTTGTGTTTAGAGCTGTCTGAGTTTGTTTGAGCAAATTTTTGACCCGTACTGGGTTCGGAAGTTGCAGTAGAAATTGGACTGGATCCAGGAGTGGATTGGATTCAATAATTAACTGGATTGGATCCATTTAGAGGCCTCAGATGTCTGGCTGGTTCAGACAGAAACTGTAAAAATTACTGCAGGAAGTGTGAACTTTGACTTTTGGAAAATTGCAGGGATTTTGTGTTCTATACATGTCATTTCTTTTTCTTGCATGCTTAGGTGAGGAAAAATCATTGGCTTTGTTGATCAAAGAGATCAGGGAGATCTCAGAGCCAAAGCCAAGATTTAACATGAAAATGGCATTTTCAATTTCTGAAGAGCTGAGTACCTCCACCTCTGTCTATGCTTATTTTTACATGTGTAAGTATTAGGCCCCAGAATCAACATATGCTTACAAAGAGGGTGAAATCTTACTAAAGAGAATTTAAAGTTATGTTGGAATGTTCCAAATGAAAAACACTACACTTTAAGAAGTGTACTTAAAATGTAGGGCTCCCAAAATAGGCTCACCCAGGGATGCCAATTGATGTGCACAAGCTACTAAAAAGATTTCAGAATTTTTACTGCCTCTTTTAAATAGCTCTTTACAAAAGGCAAATAAAAAGCTTAAGTGACTAATTGAAAAGAACAATTGAATCTGCCAACCTTTTGGCTCAATTACTATCTCAAAGGTGAAAAGAAAGCAGCATAAAGTATAAAAAATAGGCCCTCAGATAAAGTAGGCTTGTGCAGTGGATTAAATGTCCCTCCTCCCCCACCCAAATCATTGAAGGTTAATCCCCACTATTACTGTTGAGAGTGGGTAATCCTGTTATGATAACTGAAAGGTGGGGCCTTGAAGAGGTGATTAGATTGTGAGGACCATGCCCTAGTACATGGATTGAGGAGTTGATGATTTAATGGTGGTCATGAGCATGGTGCTGAGGGCTTTAAAAGGAGGAATGAGTGAGGAATTAGCTGTCTCTCTGCTCTCCTATTCTCGCCACATGACACCCTGCATTGCTATAGATTCACCTCACCAGATATGTTCCCTGGACTCTGGACTTCCCAGCCTCTGAAACTGTAAGCAATAAATACTGTTTCTTTACCAATTAACCAGTTCCAGGTATTTTGTTATAAGCAACAGAAGCAGACAAATACAGCTTGCTTCTTTTTCAGAGCTATCTATGCTAACTCCAGGCATAGTTAATACTCTCTTTGCCTTATTTGTTGATGGGCTCTATCTTGAACTCAGTAATTTTTTAGCTAAGAAACAGAAGCTAGTTAAAGACACCACATGTTGAACTAAATTGGTCTCCAAAATACACCTTTCTGACATTTAGCTGGCTATTTTGAAACCCTTTTGTAAAAAAAATGTACATCTATAAAGGAAATCTCCATTTTAAGGGTGTCTGCCTCCCTGTACCAGGAAGAGAGGGAGAACTATATCACTAGAAACTCTTAAAATGGAAAAGACATTATTTTAAATTTACATAGCAGGCTTTTTTCCTAAGGTGCTTTTCTGAGCATCCTATCTTAACTGAACCTTTGCCTACACCCTCCTTCCTTGGTTTGGGCAAATGTTGTTTATGATGGTATTTAGGCCAGAAGTCTCATATTTGTGCTTTTCAGATATAAATTTTCTACTTTTTTTTTTTTTTTTTTTTTTACCTAAGCCATCCCTCTGCAAATACAAATTTAGGGTAAAAAATTTTTTTAGGTGATTATTAAAATGGGATAAGTAAAGCAGACAGTGATGGTGTTGGAACAAAGACTAAATCTACCAAAGGTTGGATGGACCAGAGGGACCCCTGCCAGTCCCCCAAAATTACAGGGTCCCAAACCAGTCTGATCTATTTATCCTCATTTGGAGAAATTTTAAAAGTCATAATAAAGAAATTATAGTGAGCAAACTTGCTAACAATCCCTCAGGACAATAATCAGGTCAAAGAAGAAAAGGGCAAGAGTTTATTGACTTAATCTCTTGTAGGAACAGGATAAAAGTTTATAAGTAAATTTGTCATAGTTTCAAAATTATTTTTCATTTACTAGAAGGCTTAAAGTCATGTAAAATTAAGTAATAGACACTCATTAAATGTCTGAGTCATTTTTAAGTAGGTTAAAATACCGAAGCAATTGCTGAACATAGGTTTAGGATACATGTACTTCAACATCTTGTTTTTATATGGTATAGAGAAGCTAAATATATTTGGATCTGTTAATAAACATGAAAAAATTGTGTTACGAAGAAACATGTTTCTAAAATTATGAAATGGTTCTCATCTACGAAATGCTGATAAAAAATACTTCAACATTGTTTACTTTCTAGATTTCCACTAAAAATTAAGGTCACTGAGTTAAAAATTATTCCAATTAATGTATAGTAATTAAAACCATTCCTTATGCAAGGAAAGTAAGATGTGTTTTTGATAAGTGAAGCTTATGGAAAAGATGTGTTTTAGTTAAGTGAACAAGAAGGTTGTAGAAGGTTAGTGGAAGGTGAATCTTGGGAAAGGAATTTTATGTGCCATCAACCTGGCTAGAATTATAAGAGAACTATTTATTGTTTTTTTTCTAAAAATAGAGCATTAATATCAAAAGCACACTAAAACAAAACTAGAATTTAGTTTTCTAGCCTCCTGCTGTTTTTATTAGATCTTTTGGTTATTTGGAAAACTGAGTCTCCTCTCTATCAAAGAGTATAGGTTTTGCTTTTTAACCTTTTACATATTTGACAGGCTTCCCTAAATCAAAATTAAGTCGTTTTGACCTCAAACTAACTTTGGTCCCTGAAGCATCTGGGAGAGAGATAATAAACAAGCTTATTTGATATGTTATATTTATATGGGAAGAACTGTCAAATAAGAAATGATGTTTAACCTTTTTTTGAAGTTTTATTTCTATGGATATGTTATTAATATGTTCCTAAATTGTGAGATTCTTAAAATTCTGATATGTCTGAGTATATGTTATCAGTCATAATTATGGTTATGTTAAATAATCGTAGGGCACAGAAGTAAGCAAATTCCCTTGTCAAGTGTGTCTTTAACTGTGAATGTTTTAAGTTTTGTTGTCCACAGTTAATTGCTTAATTCAGATTTTTTTTTTTTCTGAAAGCTCTTTACAAACAATTATAATCCTAAAGGATTGTGAAGACAAGTTGTTTCATGGAAAGGATGGAAAGGACTCTGACAAGTATAGATTTCTGATAACCTTAGGTTATGCCATTGCACTAGATAAGAATTTCCAGAACTCGAAGAAATTGACTGGCTTATAAAACTACTAACCACCATCAAGCAGGACAAGAATTAATTAAATACCAAGGAAATACATTGGCAGATTTTCATGCTAAGTTAGCATGTACTGAAATTGTTAAGATATGCAATTTGAATGAATTCTGTGATCAAAGTGAGATTACCTTTCATAAGTCATTCAATAAATAGTGCTATGCACCTGAATTGGAGAAACAAAATTGGTATTTAAGAAGATATAAATCCAGTGTTAAATATGGACTCATAAATAGCCTGGTTGGCCACCTGGTCCTTTCTAAATTCATAAAGCTTTGTTATTAAAAGTTCTATACTCCATGACTCATTGTGAAAGAAAGAAAATGATCCAAATTATGGGGGAAAAAATTGGTGTGGTGACTATTCTAAAATTTCTAGAATGGTTTATGACTAGTGTTTGGTTTGTT